CACTGAAATAGCTGTCTGTTGACTTTCTTTGTATTTGTCCTGGTTCATCTTTTTACTGTATTTGTAACTATTTTTATTGTAAACTGGACCTCGAGTCTGTAATAAAGTATCTGTGTCTGTCTAAGGTGAGAGCTAAAGATGTCTGAAATGTCCCACATGCACTTTTTATTATATATTCATCCTTAATGTAAAATAATGTAAGTTCCATCTGGAGGTGGCCCACATCATTTCATTCATCCTATTATCGGTAATTATTTCTTGTCCAGAAAAAAAAGTCTATCAAGTTAGGCTTAATTCAAGGTGTAATTGCATCTGCTGAGGGTTACACTCACATGGGTCATGCACCGTGGAGTTGGTAGAAAACATGGCTGAATTCTAACAGTATTGACTCATATCAGCGATCACATCGTAATGACTCAGACTCTCTGGTTTTCGGGCTACTGTCACCCTAACCCACGCCTTAAAAACTCTTAACGTTTTCAACTGAATCACTCGTAACAGAGTATTTTCTAGCATAGCAAAGCAGCAAAAAGTGGAACAACTTCTCCCGTCCGCTGAATTCACCCTTCTAAATAAACATTAACCCAACGTTAACTATTCAAACCGTTTCAACAGGTTTGAGGTCATTTGGCCTCTCTGTAGGTGTTTCCTGATTACACGGGGAAGGGGCTTGGTCCAACTCTCCACACAAGCAGGATAATCAGAACACCATTTTCATATTTAAAAAATATCAATAATACTGCCCAGCTCTAGTTCAATTCAATACATTTACTTAGTGAAGGGTAGCTATCGTTAAATCCTAATTCAGCCCACTGCCTCCTGCTGGTGTTATTAATATCAGCAAATAAAAAATACTAAACACACTTATTGGAAGTTAGGATTCTTTATGGTTTTAGTGTTTTCAGCTCAGAACTTCATGCTCCATCATGTCTCTGAAATGAGACCCTTGGGCTCAAACCAGATAACAAGGCTGTGAGTGTGAGCGGCTACTTTACCTGATGTGGAGTTGCCAAGCATCTTTTTACGAAAGATTACAGCATAAAGGGGGTATGGGGCTACGCTGCCGCAGACCTTCATCTCCTCACGCTTAGACTACTGTAACTCTCTTTTCACGTGTCTGAGCAGAACCTCCCTGAACCGTCTACAGGTGGTTCAGAATGCCTGTGCTCGGCTTCTGACCAAGTCCTCCAAACTAGGGCTGCAACAAACGATTATTTGGATAATCGATTAATCGGATGGGGTCTCGACACGATTAATCGATTAATCGGATTACATGGGGAAATTTTTAAAAACTGCTAGGGAAACGTTATTTCTCTCCTTCCTTCACTTTATTTAACACAACATTATTAGAAAACAGTTCAATAGCAGAAAAACAACATGCCATCACCTAAATTGTCTTATAAGGTGTATAGACAGAGACCCTAAGCTACACCTATCTGTGATCTAAAATGCTTGGTCCAAGTTAAACAGCTTAAGGGCAATTCTCATCTGTTTTGTTTGATCTCATCTGTTAATATTTATTTTAAATGTAATTAAACATAGGCTGTGAATTAATCAAAATTGATCTCTATTTCCAAAACTGACTGAAAAAATACCAAATAAAACAAAAGTAAATGAATGCCATCCTCCATGCGATGATGCCCTGGGCAACTGCCATAAAGTCACATCAAGAAATGCTGCTGATCATTCCAATGATCCCAAATAGACTCACATTAGGCCACATGAAAGCAACTGAACCCAAAAATATATTAACCAGTATATAACTGCACTCTCACACAACACGCCTGCAGCAACAGTTAGGACTCCTCCCTCCCTTTTAAAAGCGATTTTGCTTCTGAGGACATTGTGGTTGTAAAACCGCACGCTAGTAGTCTGGCCCCGGTGTGATCAACCAGTTTCTGCGGGAATGTGACGGCGGAACCAGGGCCAGATTAACACTTTGTTGTACCCTGGGCAACAATGTTAAAGGGCCCCATCATCACGACCCAAGGATCACCATAATGTGGTCACATACAGAATATTTTACTGTAATATGCAGTAAATATACTCAATACTTGAATGCCTGACAACACCTAACCCGCCCAGAGTAACCTTTGACCCACCTCGTGTGGACTGACCAATGAGGAGAGGGTCTTAACTTGAGGCCCTCTCTTCATTGGTCAGTCTGCATGAGACTGACTCTCAACTGACGTTCAGTCGTAGGCAGCGAAGCGTCTCTGTGCAGTGCAAAAGCCCGGGTGGACAGTTTGTTTAATGTAGGGTGACCATATTTCCATTTCCAAACAAGAGGACAGGGGATCTGTGCCTATGACGTCACACTATGGCAACGCCACACAAACCATGTTGGGACCCATTTTTTGTAAGAACTAAATTAATATCAGATTCTGCCAATTAAAGGGCTCTAAAACTATTCATATGTAAATATTTTGCATATTTAATGCAAAATCTAATTTTTCTGCTTTAGTGCTGCAACAAGGTTTTATTAATAATAAATTATTATACCTTTTGTTTTACTACAGCATCGGTAAGCTTCCTGTGCACAGATTATTAAGGATGCTTGTTTCAGCTGTGAGATTAGACGATAGGATCAATGAAAAAATAAGTTGTCACAAACTCCATGGAAACTTTCAGAGAATCCACAAATAGTGGCTTTCAAATGGTTTTGTTACTTTTTGCAAGTTTATAAAAGAAGCAGATGAGACAGCATGTCTGATAATTTAGTTTTTCATCTGATAATATTAGAACATGTCAGTAATGTCTGAGGGGCTTTTATAAACACCATATAACTAACACTACTGGAGAGGGTATGAATTACACAGAGGCTTCTGGGGAGCCCAGTTGGGGGGGCATTTTGCCTTGGCCCCCAAAATGCCTTGAAACGGCCCTTGGTGTGTGACAGAGTTTTGAAGGTGATCTGAATTGTATCAGATGTATAAATATTACATGTGTGTAACTTATTGTTTTATACAGGTAGAAACACGTAGTGGAGATAAATCTACCTACATTTTACTTTTCAACACTTTGTTTTGTTTTCTTGTTTTTATTTAACTATTTTCCTGTCCTGTCTGTCTCTCATCTTCCTGCATCTCCTCATAATTCTCCAGAAAATCTGTTGCCTGGATTCTTACCTTTTCACCTCATCAGTTACTTTTGAGCAGATCAAAGGGATCTCCTGACCGAAAAGCGCAGAGCGCGTTTTCGATGCTGCGTGAGGTGAAATCACCACAGCACAGGTGATGAGCTCCGCAGTAGCGAGCTTCAGGCACAAATAAGACAGAAAATAGAGAACATGTGCGGACATGAACGATCGTGTGCTAATTATAGTTTTTTGGTTGCGCCACTTTGAGAATGGACCGTGCGCTGGAAGCAGCTGCCTGGATCACTGCGCAACAATGCGGAACCGGTTCGCAGCAGCGCAAGTCTGCCGGCTCTCCCTCGCGCTGATCTGCGGCTCTCCCTCGCGCTGATCTGCCGGCTCTCCCTCGCGCTGATCTGACTTGCTCTGGTCTGCGCGCAACGGCGGGCGGGAAGGGGGGGGGGGGGGGGGGGCGCTTTTGGAAGAGTTGTGCGACACAACGAATCGATGACGCAATTCGTTGCCAACGCTTTTAGTAATCGATTTTCATCGAATTTATCGATTCGTTGTTGCAGCCCTACTCCAAACACACCCACATCACCCCGCTTCTCCTCCAGCTTCACTGGCTGCCAGTCAACTTCAGGGTTCATTTCAAGATCCTGGTTCTGGTCTATAGGGCCTTACATGGACAGGCACCATCTTACATTGGTGATCTTCTTAGTCCCTACACTCCCAGCAGGTCCCTGAGGTCCAGTGACCAAAGCCTACTGGTTGTGCAGCACCAGGCTAAAGGTCAAAGGTGACAGATCATTTGCTGCTGTGACCCCCAGACTCTGGACCTCTCTCCCCCTGAGCCTGACATCAGTGGACTCAGTGGTCTCCTTTAAAAAGCCGCTGAAGACTCACTTGTTCAAGCTGGCTTTTGTACGACCTTCTTCACCACCCTCTCTTTATTCTGCTCTCCCCACCTATTCCACCTTCCTCAGGATCCACTTATTTACCTATTTCCAATTATCTCTCTAAACATTTTTTAATCACAATTGTCTATTTTTGCACATTTTAAATATATTTTTAAACATTTTCTAAATGCTTTTTTATATTTTTACATTTTTTGTTTTTGTGAAGCGCCTCGGGATTTTTATCTTGAGAGGCGCTATAGAAATGATATTTTCTTCTTCTTCTTTCTTTTATCTTCGATATAACTAGCTTTTTTTGCGATTGAAGCCACGATTGTTAAGTTCTTGTAACAAGACACTCCTGAAAGTGTCTGTCCCCCCCCCAGTCCCCGTGCAGTCTCTGGTGATCTGACCTCCAGCTGTAGCAGAGAGAAACTCCTGGAGCGCTGCATGGCTTCAGTTTATCATTTCAGCTGCTTCTGTTTACAAAAGTGAAACTTATTCATTTTTACTTTCATTTTCAATATATTTGCCAGCCGGAGTTTGACAGTAAGTATAAGTTGGTTTGACATTGAAGAGATGTACTTTGTAACTGGCCACACTACTGTCAGCTCGGCAGTCTTGTTGTAAGGTCGAGATTGAAGTTTCCACAGAAACCCACTCCCAAACAGTCCCTTTAAAAGACTTTAGCATTAGTTTCAGGCCAATAGGTTGTTTTATGTACGCACAAGTGTTAACTTTTGTACTTTGATGGTTTAACCATTTTACTGGTGTTGGTTCTGATTCACTTTCATAAAAAAAATCAAACTCAGACATGTCCAGAAATCTTGTATAAATGCAAATATTTTTGAGTTTATTATTTAAATATGTCAAACTTACAAGAATTATTTTGCTAGACTTTCTGTTTTCTTTCTTTTTTACCGTTTGTAGGCAAACCGCCATGGAAATGGAGCGATGCTCCTCTTCTCCAGTTCGCCTGATTTAGCATGCAGCTTGACAAAATAGGCAAAATGTTTCTGGAGAATTATCAGTGATGGTTCAGTCTCCTAAAACGTCCTTCTCAATTCTTTTCAACCCAGGACGAGTGTCTTTCTTCTCTTCTGGGTCGGAGAACCTCCACCGCGTGGAAAAGGTAACATGGGGCACACGCTACGCCATCACCGTGTCCTTCACCTGTGATCCCGCTCACGCCATTTCTGACCCGACCCTTCCCTGAAGCATCCGTGGATGATTGGGGGGGCGTTGCTGTTCGGATGAACCCTGCAACAGAGAGGAGCAGGAAGCGAATGAGCAAAACATCCAGAGAACTCCAGGGACTCTATATACCTGGACCCACATCGAGCAAGAATAATTCAGTTGAAATGGCAAAATAAAATGGAGTGAAATCCAATCTAGCAGCTGTGGTACCGGCGCACTAACGTTTCCAATGAATTATAGGGGAGATGGAGCAGCAGCAACCAGCTGTAGTTAAACTTTAGACCGTTAAATGACCTCCGCTCCATCAGCAGCCAGCCTTTGCTTTTGAAACGCTGCTATTCCACAGGAAAAAAAGCTCATCTGGACTTTCAGCTCCTGTTTGAGAGGCTGTAATTATCCCGATCCAAATGAGCAACGCGAAGTGTAAGGACACAAGCATAGCTGCCGATGTGATTCCTGGTAAGGCTCAAAATCTAGAAGCAATTCTAATGTCAACCTTTGCTACATGGCTCACCCACAAAGTGTTTCTTCAAACTGATATTTTATCTGATGACTTTGGTGGCGAGCCTGTCCTCACTGCTGTCATTTAGAAACCGACTGTTGCAACGCTGACTTTGACCCGTGTAACAGTATGTTTGGGGTTGCTGTGTTGGTTATTCTGTGTCCATCTGCAAAGATTTGTCTTTTTTTTTTTCCTTCTGATACTAGAACCAACAGTTCTCAGGTGTCCGGCATCTTTATGGTCATTCAGGAAAGCGGTGGTTTGACAAAATGTTTTCTCTTTTTGAAAAAATACACAAATGCCAAACTCAGCCAGACATGTTTCAGGTTCCTGACCTGGGAGGTAGTTTTAAAAAGCAGCAGATGGAGAGTTTGTCGAAAGGGTCTTTTTGATACAAGTCCATGTGCCAAAGCCTAATTTTAACTCGGATGTATTGTTTTTTTTATGTATTTTGTAGTTATTAAACTTTAAGATCTGAGTGAACTTTCTTTATTTGTATATTTAAGTAGTAGTAGTGGTGGTGGTAAGCTAGCCACATAGCCACAGCTCCCCTGGGGCAAGGCTACCTCACACAGACGCCGCCGGTGCCTCCAACCTCCACCAGCAGGCAAGGAGGGTGAGGTGTCCTGCCCAAGGAGATAAACTGAGCAGGGGTTCAAACCAGCAACCCACTGGTTACAGGATGAACTGAGCCACCGTTGGCCCCAGAAGAAGTCGAATTAGCAGTCTGCATTGTTTATTCTCAGTAACGCATTTTAGCTGAGTCAGAAACCCACAGAGCTGCCTTCAGGCTTAGTTTTCTGTTGGTGTTTACACATACTGACTGGAGATCAGAAGAGTGTTTACCAACAGCCAGCTGCTTGGTTCAATCAAAAGACAAACCCTGTGTAGATGAACTGTCTCCCTACTCTGTGATCCTCAGATTACAGCAGATGGAGGGTCTGCTTTCCAGTGGCACTGAGCCAGCTCTTTGTGGAAAACCAAACCAGCTCTAGAGCCAGCCCTGCTATGTTTGTAACTGTGTTTCAGCACACCTTTTCCCTGAACTAAAAGTAGACTACACACACACGCACACACACACGCCCACACACCAGTGAAATGCTGCTGTTCTCAGCTCCTCAGAAACTGTTTTCATTCACCGGATGATGAGAGAAGCACAACAGAAACCTACTTCTGTCGTCGACCTTGTGAGAAGAATTTCACTTCTTCTGAATAAAGACGTCTGAAATCCTGAAGTTAGCCTCCTTGAAACTGCAGATGGTTGAACACAAAACTCTTAGATGTCTATTTCAGGTGACGGCTTTGCACAGAAAACCTTTTTGAGCTTCTACTAAATTCCTTTCAAACACACTCTGAGCTTCTGTGTTCACAAACATGACACGACTGCTGAACGCAGCTTTCCAACTTCCAGTTGGGTGTAAAGAACTGTTCAGTTACCTTTAAGGGACTCTCTGTAGCCCTGGAGGTTCACCTGTGCTAGGTGAGCTCCAGAGCAGCAGCCCGCTGGCTGACTTATTTTTGCCTCTGGCTAAAAGTGCACACCTTCATCTGGAGCTATTATAAACGTACGCTGCTGGGGGTGTGTTGGCGTACCTTGCAGCACAATCTCACAGTTGAGCAATGGAAACACTTTATTATGACGAGGTCCATCAGGACATAAGGGACAGGGAAAGATGAGTTGTGGGTTAAATTCTAGGAAGACTTTCTTATGGAAATGTGCTTTCAAATGTTTTCCACACTGAAATATACATATAGTGGCCCAGAAGGTTCATGGAAATACAATCACTGCAACACGTCAAAAGAGGTATTAAAAACTAACTAAAATAAAGTAGCATGAAAGGGAAGCACAGCAGAAAGGGAAGTAAACAAGAGACTGCTGTAGATGTATTACAGTGGTATGAGTCCAATGACCAGGCCCTGAATGTTGTTGTTGTTGCGTTCACTCGTGTTTGTTTGTGCAGGGAACTTGTTTTTTTTTTAAGATTTTATTTTGGTGTTTCTTTTTTTTTTTTTTTTACTTCTGTTTCTGTTTGCCATTCACACCCTGGCGGGGATGAGCTACAGTGTAGCCACAGCTGCCCTGGAGCGCACTGACGGAGGCAAGGCTGCCGAGCACTCGCTTCACCGGTCCCTCCGACCACCACCAGCAGCAGCAGCCAAGGTGGTTAAATAAGTGTCTTGCCCAAGGACACAACAGCAGAATTCTGCCTGGAGCCGGGATCGATCCTTCAACCTGCTCTGCCTTCCGAGCTACTGCTGCCCATGAAAATATGGCGGATATTCTCATGATGCTCTGTGGGCGGAATGTGACAACATTACTGATTAATGACTGACTGTCATATTTGGGTTTTCTAAGTCTAAGTTTCTGGTTTCATTGTTTAATTTAGTTTATTTCTATAGCACTTTTCACAGACGTAGAGTCACAAAGTGCTTCACAGATAAAAAGAATGAGCTCAAAACAGAAATAGATTATTATCAGAAAAATTGTTATAAAATTTCTTAAAACTCATGAAAGATGATTACAAATTTGAGTTAAAAATAGGAAAACCGAAGATTTAAGTTAAAGCAGCTTTAAATTAAAGTTTTTTTTTAAAGTGTCCAAGCTGTCAATACTACATAAGGATAAAGGAAGATCATTCCAAAGTCGGGGTGCAACACTCCGGAAGGAGCGATCGCCTTGACTTTTATACAAGGTCTTTGGAACTTCTAGAAGGTTCTGGTGTTTGGACCTGAGGGCTCGGGTTGGACCCTGGGGTTGCATTTATAAAACTTGCTTACGCACAAAACGGGGTCGGAAAACTGCGTAAGCAAATTTCCACGCAAACTTTGGGATTTATGAAAGAAAACTTGGCGGGAAAATGTGCGCAACTTTAAGTTGACTAAGGACCTGGCTTACACACACGTTGGACATGGAGAGCACCTGCAGTGCTGCTGCTGAGAAGGATAAAACTGTGAAATCCTGCAGCATTATCACTTGTACTGCTTCGTTCTCACACAGAACAAGACCCCCCCCCCCCCCCCCCCCCACACACACACACACACAGCCTGAAGTGCAGATTATGGAATGCAGAATATCAACAGGGGCAGACTGAGACAGAATGTTATGCATCTGTGAAAATGTGAGCGTCCTGTCACTGACCCGATTAATCATGTGCCCTGACTATTTGGCTGACCGGTTAGTGTGTGACTCACTCGGGAGTCTGGGAATTGAATCTCGATCGGACCTTTTTTTTTAATATCCGCCACAGATCTCTTTCAAGAACTCACAGCATTGACGGCTTCAGCAACGCTGTGCCAGTCCGTGGATTTTCTCTTATTTGTTTAGCAAAAGCACTTTTTTTGTGTGTCCTGGGACTTCCCTTGGGTCTCCTCCCAACATCAGGAAAACCTCACCAGGGAGGCATCCAGGAGAAATCCTGACCATATGCCCAAGCCATCTTAACTGGCTCCTCTCAACGTGGAGGAGCAGCGGGTCTACTCCGAGCCCCTCCCAGGTGATTGAGCTTTTCACTCTATCGCTAAGCAAGAGCCCAGCCACCTTGCAGAGAAAACTTATTTCAGTTGCTTATATCCGCAATCTTGTTCTTTGGGTCACTACCCACAGCTCGAGACCATAGGTGAGGGTAGGAACGTAGATCGACCGGTAAATCGAGAGCTTTGCCTTCCGGCTCAGCTCTCTCTTCACCACGACAGTCTGGTACAATGCAAAAACGTAGACGCAGCACCAATCCGCCTATCGATCTCATGTTCCATTTTTCCCGCATTTGTGGACAAGACCTGGAGATACTTAAACTCCTCCACTTGAGGCAGGACCTCGTCCCTGACCTGGAGAAGGCATTCTACCATTTTCCAAGAACATGGTCTCTGATTTAGAGGAGCTGATTCTCATCCCAGCCACTTCACACTCGGCTGTGAACCGCTCCAGCGAAAGCTGGAGATCACGTTCTGATGAAGCCAACAGGACCACATCATCTGCAAAAAGCAGAGACCAGGGGTCTCATTTATAAAACATGGTGCAGAATCCTTACTAAAACCGTACTTAAGCTCAGCAAAAAATTACACTCACTCCAAGTAGGTTTGTGATCTATCAAACATGGAGTACGCACAGCTGCACGCAACCTCCACTTCATAAATCACAAACTACCTAGAAAAGTTCTCAGGTGTTTTTGAATCACATCCCGCCCTCACCACGCCCACTTACCGCCATAAATGGTCAATGCAAAGTGCCTTGTGGATCTCATGCATATACATAAGCTGGCTCTTGCAGCACTCCACCATTAATGATGGCGACCGCGGATCACGGAAGTGCTATTTCACCGAAGCAGAAGTTGAGGTACCTGTGGGTGAGGTGGAACGAAAGGAAGTGCTTTTGCTAAACAAATAAGAGAAAATCCACGGAGTGGCACAGCGTTGCTGAAGCCGTCAGTGCTGTGAGTTCTTCAGAGAGATCTGTGGCGGATATAAAAAATGGTCCGGGTTCTGTGTGCGCATGAACAGTACAAGTGATAATACTGCTGGCATCCATAATTGGATCCTTCTCAGCAGCAGCACTGCAGGTGCTCTCGATGCCCAAAATGTGTGTAAGCCAGGTCCTTAGTTAACTTAAAGTTGCGCACATTTTTCCGCTACGTTTTCTTTTATAAATCCCAAAGTTTGCATGGAAAGTTGCTTACGCAGTTTCTGACCCCGTATTGTGCGCAAGCAAGTTTTATAAATGAGGCCCCTGATCCTTAGGCCACCAAAACAGATCCCTTCAACACCTTTGCTGCGCCTAGAAATCCTGTCCATAAAAGTTACGAACAGAATCGGTGATAAAGGGCAGCCTTGGTGAAGTCCAACTCTCACTGGAAATGAGCGTGACTTACTGCCGGCAATGCGGACCAAGCTCTGACACCGGACACCTAACAGCCCTTATCAAAGGGCCTAGTACCCCATACTCCCGGAGTACCCCCACAGGGCCCCCCAGGGGATGAGGTCAAACACCTTCTCCAAATCCAGAAAACGCATGTAGATTGGTTGGGAAAACTCCCACGCACCCTTCCAACACCCCCTTAAGTTGCAACCCATCAAATCAAAGCAAAAGACCATTGCCAATAAAGTCCTTACTGCACCAATCAAGTCTGTTTCCCTTTTTTCATAATGTCTGGCCTACATGTGAAATGTGCACTGATCATTCAAGTCTTTATAATGGCATGATTAAGTGTGGCTTCCAGCATAAGGACGATGGCTCTTCCTGTTAGCCATGACAACGGAATGATGGCCTTCCATCCAGCTGCATCATTGTCCAACTTTTGGCAGAAGTTTAGTTCAGTTTCATGTGCCTTGTTTTCAAACTAAACTTAGAGAAATTGTGTTCCTACTGCAGGTGACCCAACCTCATGCTACGTATGGCTGCATCATTGCCAGCATTTGTGGCTGAGTTTGTTCAAGCTTTGAGGGATGAGTGTGTAAACCGATGAGCCTGATTGTTTCCACAGA